TTGTTAAAAACATTTTCATACATATCATTAATTATATTCCACAATGTTCCTCTAATTCCTGCATTCCACAGTGAAACCCGAAGTCCATCTCTCCAAACTCGATCAAAAGCTTTAGAAAAATCTAGGAAAGCAACATATGTAGAATTGTTTTGAGATTTTCGCTGAGACACAATACCTTTGAGTGTAAAGATATTGTCTTCACAGCGTCTGTCTTTTCTAAATCCACCCTGAATCTCACCTAATATGTTATTATCTTCCACAAATTGTTTTAATTTAGTTTCAATTATTTTAGCATAAACTTTTGATACTGTTGAGTTCAGAGTAATGCCTCTATAATTATTTAGATCTTTTTTATCACCTTTTTTATGGATTGGTTTTACAACTCCTTGTTTCCATTCGTCTGGGATTTTCTTATTATTCAAACATGATTGAAATAGAATTGTCAAAGACTGAACAAGCGATTCACCACCATTCATGATAAATTCATTGACTATGTCATCCGGGCCACACGCTTTTCCAGATTTGCAAAATTTTATCGCATTTCTGACATCATCTTGGTTTATTGTAATTGTGTGAATTTGTCTGATATTATTATTATCATCATTATTGCTGTTTATTTCATTTCTCCTAATTAATTTCAATTTCTCTAATATTTCCTTATGGTTCGTAACCAGTCTTGTGATTAGTTCTTCGCCTCCAACTGTGCCGTGCGTTTGGACAAACCGGTAATTATTCGTAAATGGAGTCAATTTGTGTAGTTTTCTTGATTTATTCTGCAGATATAGGTAAAATATATGTAAGGCTTTGGCGAAATTTGAAAGAGCAACTAATATTCTTCAACCTGGTATTTTTTATAGATTTCATACGGTATTATCAAAAGTAAAAATATATATTTACATGTAGTAAGTAGGTTTGCAGGATACTATTTAACTTGTGTTGGATTGAAACATTTACAGTACCACAAACCCTTCGATTTGTAATTCAAAAAAATTAATCTAAACATATACCTGTGTGGTCTCTGAAGCAATGAATGTTACAAATTGTCACAAGAATGTGAATAAATAGATTTTTTACTTAAAAGTTTGAAAAATGCTGTAAAGTAGCAGTATTTATTACCCGAGTTGTTCCGTTCTGGAAATAAAATAAGTAGCGCCCTCTATCGTCGAGTTAGTATGTGACCTACGTTGACCTCTGCCGTAGTCACCTGATAGATCATAATAACAGCATGGAGAAGGAGAAGAAAGGGAAAACTCCTAAAAAGAAACGTGATTCTTGTAGTTCTGAATCAAGTTCAATATCAGGTACGTATTCCTCCCACTACAAAGACTTTTCTGGATAACACGGCAAGAGTTCTTGGCATATTTTCCCAATTTTTGCTGTATACACGAGTTGAAAATTCAAATAAACTTATCAGTATTAGAAGTATGTTGGTTTTATTATTTTCCCCGATTTGTCATTGCTACTCATCTAAGGAGATGACAAATCGGGAAATAATTGATAACAAATATTACCGATAGATTTATTTGAATTTTCATCCCTCGAGTGATTGTGGCTATAATAAATCCACAGGTTCTTCGCCATATCAGTCGGCGACCAGACAGTCGCCCAAACCGACGTCTCTGACGGGAAGTTCTAGGAAGATTAAAGACCACTGCGCCGACTGGCATAACTATATCAACAAATGGCAGATTTTAAACGAGCAAGGATTTGGAATCACATCCAAAATATCTAACTGCAAACTACAAGCACAGTGAGTGTTGTAGATATTGTTTTGTTCCGTTCTATTTTTAGAACAACACAATTACTTTTATTACCATATTTTTTCCCGCCAAAGTTTTGCATTTATTTATGTATTTTTTTATAATTCTTTTATTTATTTTGAATCAAATAAACACAATTTCCCATTTTCATTTACAATAAATTTATCTGGTAGCCTAGTGGTTGTGACATCAAATTAGGCTCATGGTCGGTAGATCCAGGTTCAAATCCTACCTTAGGTTGAACATCAAAAGGGTCGACCCCTACCCTGGGTGAGTGTGCCACAGACTCAATGAGAAGGCCAATTCCACTGGCCGAGTTTCATTCACTAATGAATGCGACTTTGGGGGAACCTTGGTTAAGATCCGCAGGTGCTTGTGTTTGACCGAGCCTGGTTGACACCAGGACAGCACATTAAATTGCCATTTGATAGGGAGATGGCCGTACAGCCCTGTCATGTAGTCGCAAACATGGATATGACTTCTGTGGTAAAAATGCATGAGCACTTGAATTTGCACATACATAAAAAGTCGGGAGAGACAACAAGTGAGATTCAATGCCAGAACTGTCGCCTGGCACAAAAACAAATTTAAAAAAAAAAACTTTATCATAACTTTCCTTGAATATTACGGTATTTAGAAATAAACCATCGCTACAGTGGGCCACATACTGTGAGATATATGCTCATATGCATGTATCCTGCAAATTGTGCAATACCCAATGCAGCGATGTTTTATTTCTTATACATTATAACTTCATTTGAAATGTAATTTTGAGATGTAATACAGTATCTGAAACGTCATATAATGTATGCATAATTTGAAGACGCACACTCGTCCAATCAGAACAACATATCCAGGCAATTAAAATACAGGTGTATATATTATAATACAAGCTGTTTGCAAAGTTCAGATGATTGCTAATATCACCGCATGATATTAGTTAAATTTCGTCATAAAATATATATGAAAACCAACAAATGATCGATTTAAAATTTTTCTGTTTTTTTTCAGCTATATCATGAAAACAAATTATCATATATATTTTAAACAACATTTCTGTTTTAAATTTTCCTGTGTGTTTTATTTCAGCTATGTTCTACAGGCTAAAAAGTAATATTTAGTAAAATCATAAATTACCCTCAACATACATCCTCTACCAATTGCTGCAGTCATCTTATGTTTCCCTGTTTTGACTGTTTAATGTACGAGTGTTGTAGGTTATTTGTAAGACATCTTCCCACAGATCTGGTGAAGCAGCAGAGACGGCAGTTATCAGTGCAGACACTGACAATGATGGTACATCAACCAATAAAATGCCACCAGAAATGCAAGAACACTGCGAACAGCTGCATTCAATTTACAGTTCAATGGTGAGTGTTCAGTTATCAGCGGTTACAAGTTTATTACACTAGTATGTACCGGTACATCATTTTTTTAAACAAAGGAACAGGAGTGCAGCGGCCTCATGCCATGGCCATGCACCCCCTTACCCTGGGGAGCAGATGCTCTGGCAACCATAAAATTCTGATTGACCAGGGATCACGTGTGGCCACAGTCCATTTTAAGTTAGAATTGTCAAAACCTTCACACTCTGGTAGGGAGAACCCTATCTCCCCCACTTGGTGGCGCTACTAAATTGCAGTACTCCCTTTTGCAGGTTTTTTCTAGAAAAATGTCATTCAATAATGCTCTCTAAAGTGTCCTGTGTTTTTTATGTGATTTATTGCTGTTGTAGATCAAACATTGTACTTGCTGTTCAGATTCTTAAAGTTGTAAGTTTGAAAAGGAAACCTGACATACCTGAGCTGATTTCATACAAACATGATTTGATGACTGTACATACAGGCTCCTATTACAGCTTTTCAAAGGATACAATCCAATTTGGCCGACAAGCAGCCATTTAGCTATTACTGATTTTGATCATAGTTTACCTATATTGTTTGAAAATTTTACTTTTTGCTTTATATCTCTTCATCCCTAACATAATTTAAAATGTCAACTACTTTTTATCATTGCATTGATAGGCAAAATTGGTAAAAAAAATGGAAACTATCTGTAAAAACTTCCGTGGAATTTGTGACCTGGAGGGACATAAAAAAGATGGTGACTGGAGTGAAGAGCCGCTTTTCCAAATGTGGTCAACCGAACAGTTCTGTGAGTAAAATCTAAAAATAGGAGATATCTGCTTGGACCGATAAATATAATACATGTACTTGTACATGTATATAGAAAATTATAGTAGGTGATTATAGAACTTGGTAATTAATTATACATTTTTGGCAATGTACCACTCTTTTTTTGATGGAAAATCTGAATAGAATGTAAGATAGTAGAAAACAGAATAGAACAGGTGAAACAACTAAATAGAACTTAAAATGCATTGCATGGTTATTATCAGAAATGATGTAAACAGTTTATACATTTCATTGGGTTCCAGATAAAAGTACCGTCTTTATCCGGTGTCATTACATCTTAGTTCTAGGAGACTTTAGAATTATGTCCATTTCTGGAGTTAGCGACAACAAAGGTCAACTTAGATGAGTAGAACAAGCCGTATTCATGGAACAATCTAACAGTCTAATGAAATGAATATACAGTTTACGTCATTATCGATAATATAACCATGTGGTGAGATTTCTCATTCTATTTAGTTTATCCAATAAAGAAGGAAACATAAAACAAAACATTTGGTTATATAATAAATAAACTATGAGTATATACACTTTTCAATATATTAGTTTCGTGAGTGAATGTTTTGCTTCTCTCAAACTATATTCATTCAGACTGTATAAGGGACAACGTAAAAAGATCGATGTCGGATTATTTGCTTTAGTTTGGGGGTGGGGGGTTTTGACCTCATAAAGTTTCCATCCTACAAAAACGATTTTATTTTTTAATGAAGTCAAAAAAATCTTGGGAGTATTTGTAGTTCGTTCTCTTTCTATCCAATCATAGACAAAAATAACAGAAAATGAAAAAAAAAACACGTCCAAGACGAGAAAATGGTTTGGTCAGAGTGTAAATATGTGCGTCAAATGAGATCAATTGCAGGGCATGGACCTAAAACCAACTGCTATGCCATACTACTGTCCAATTATCAATTTGTATTTAATGACGACATGATCAATATTTATCAATTGAGTTTCAGTGGGGGGGGGGGGGGCTAAAGGAATTAAGTTTTTTATCCTACATTGAACTTTTGATGTTGTTCCTAAGTAACCCGTCTATACGTCAACACTCAAAATAGTTTTCTTTATTCTTATTTCCGAAAATTAGATGAAGCATCCTGTACCATGCTATCAATGTACAGTACAGAATTGGAAGTAAAACACACAATATTAGAAGAGATAGCTCATTGTGATGAAAGAGACTTGTTACTGTTTTACAACTCCACGTGGTTGCATCAGCCGTACATTGAGGAGAAATCTAAGTTATTACTAGAAAGTATGTTATTAGAAACAGGACATAGGTGACAATAAATAATTTGATATAAATATGTTGTCTGATTTCCTTCCCGGCACGCTATCCCATCCTCTTAATTATGCAGTAAAATCTGTGTAAAGCAACCACCCCAGGGACTGTGTTAGAATGTTTTTTTTTATAGACAGGTGGTCTTATGTATGGAGGTTGGGTCATTTGTTTATGGATCGCCAACTCGTACGTACATATTTGATGTAAAATTTGCCCAGAGAAAAAAGAGACGGTACTGTGCCAATAAAAACACATTTGAGTTTATCAAAATTAAATCAAGTTTGAATTGAGGAATATATAAAATTGTTTTATAAACAGAATGTTAATTATTAGATGTTTTTTTTTTTTTTTTATATATATATATATATAGGGGTTGTCTCTAACACTGGTTTAACTGTATGAATTGCCCCTAACATGCACAGTTGGACTGGTATTCGATTGTCAACTGATCTGGTATTCTTTTCATCTTCATTTAAACTATTACAAGATAGAAATATCACATAACAATAGACCGCTCACTGCGAGAATCACCCGTTATGCGTGAAATCGAACGTAAAAACAGGACAAACAAAGGTCGTAGTGTCGTCAAACATCGCATGGGATTCAACAAACGTGAAAATATTTTGGAGGCATTTCTATGCTTAATATCGTGCTGTACACATTTGATGATAGACGATTTTGATTAAGTGAGGGTATTCGAAAGCAATTTTCCTCTGTCGAAGATCAGCCAGTCGATGTGAGCTACGAAATAAAACAATTCAAGTTCAAAAATCAAATTGTTTGATTTTTGCGGCAGACGTTCAACGCGCGTCTTTCATGCATCTCGCGAGATCTCGCAGTTGAACGGAAAATCACCTATTGCCTTGTGGTAGATGCAAATTTAAGGTACATTCATACGTACTCCATACATTATCGGCTGCATTAGAATTGTGTTGTCAACATTTTGTTTGAAGCCTTTTATGTGTACTGTTAAAAAAAAAAACAGCTACAGTATTTGCGAGATATTTGCATCAGAAGTGTTCTACCAATAGCCGAACATAAGGCAATTGCATGGACACAGTTGTGATTGAGTTTTCAGCATCTAGAGGTGTCATCAATTCACTGAATAGACAATACTATGCCACAAAATCAATACATATTTTCTGCACAACCTTTTGAATTTATAGGATGACTTTTTTTACTAGGTGTTACCATTGCATCCAAGCAAACAAACGTTTTGAACTTCCTCACTTAGTTGTGTTCAGTGAGCACGTGAAGCGGCAGTGCATGACAAGATTTATTATTGTAGTGACAAATAATGTAGTCGATAAACGACACCTCAGATTTCAATCAGAATATCGATAACTTTCAGATTTAATTTTTAGCCAAATTTCTCAAAACTGAAATTTTTTAAGGCACCTTATATGAAAATGTTATACAGAATGTACATCTTGGGGGAAGTCTGATGATATTTACTGTCTGAAGGGATTCCCACAATGGATCAGTTTTTCATAGAAAATCATCATTTATTAAATGTACCTTTTATAAATTGTGATGTCAAATTGATTCACCAGAATTTAGTTCAACCTTTACTGATTTCAAATAAAATGGAGCCTCGTCTTTTGCGTGTCACATGTGTTAAAAATTTGAAAGGTCTTTTTTTCATATAACCTTGACATTGAAAGCATTGGCAGAACTGTGCATTCAATCAACACACCTCCTTACCACCCCTGAGCAATACATTTTCTGCCTCTAAAAACAGTTCTTTGATACAAGAGGCTATAATTAAATGCATTCTTACAAAAACATTCGGTTAATAAAAATACTAACATTTCAGAAAAAAAAGCAAAACACTGGCATATCTGTTTATTCAGAACACCATACATGACATACCATTATTATAAACTCACAAGTGAAGTTTTTTATCTTATTTACATACAAAAAAAAATAATAAAAACAACTTTGAAAAAAAAATTCTTACAGATATACAATACAATTTGACAATTTTGATAAACTCAAAAGACAATATGAATTAAAATAAGTGTTATTATTCATCATTTTTGTTGTCTGACCGTGAAAAGCCCGATATAGATCCGTCAAATTCCCATAGTTTGGATAACCGAAGGCACATTCAAATCACATGAACTATAGGCCATATGCTGGTTTTAGCATCAAATGGAATTTGTATCTGTACACGTCATAATCATCCTCGTTTATATCTGGTTATTGAACTACTTAATAATCGTAAGTATTTATTCATGAGTATGCAGATAAGACTGAATGTCTGCAGATAGGCGTTCAACTTTTGTAAATGAGCTTTGTACAAAATTGGGTAGACATAAACAGTTGACACTTTATGTCATCAGTGTACACACTTTAAACAAGTCGGCAACATTAATGACGTTAATCTGACATATTACGCTAACTTGATCTTGGGGAAATCGTTTATTACATCACTTCTTACATAATATATGCATGAATGTAATGCATAACAGATGTTGAAAACTGAGATTTGAACTTGATCATGGGGAAATCGTTTATTACATAATATATGCATGAATGTAATGCATAACAGATGTTGAAAACTGAGATTTGAACTTGATCATGGGGAAATCGTTTATTACATCACTTCTTACATAATATATGCATGAATGTAATGCATAACAGATGTTGAAAACTGAGATTTGAACTTTCCATAAATGGTATCATGTGGCTTTCACAATCAGTTGTAAGAAAAAAAATGAATGAATGAGCTAGAAAAAGTGAAACGATGCATACAATGAGATTTCATTTCAATCCCATTGAACAAAATGCAATGACCTTCACTTAATCATTATGTTTGAACATCAGGATGTTAAATAATTCAGATTTTCTAATCCAGTTAATGTTTTTAACCTTTTTACTACCAGTTCCCTCTTTTCATCACAAATTCACAAAATAGTCTTGCTTATAGTCTGCATTTTCTTTTCAAAATATTTTTAATTTTGTTAGTAATAACTGAAAATTGACTCAAATTTTGTCTAATGGCTCCAAAATTAGGATTCATTTCCAGAAATATTGAAAAAATATAAGAAAAAAGTGCAGAACAATTTGGGTAAGAAAGTCTGGTGGTAAAAAGGTTAAAACTGTCAAGATATGGGTGGGAAAACATAACATAACAGAAACATTACAAAGTACTTAAATATTCAATGCTCATAAGTTACAAGCCTGTTTAATAACAAATAACTCATTATTCCTCATATTCACCGATACTGCAAGGAAAATTACACAAATATATATATATATGTAAAACAGTCAGGTGAAATCAACTGACTTATTAATAATTATTACAAATATCCAAATGATTTGAAATCTACATTTAAGTTAAATTGGCATGACAATTGTGCAAACGAATTTTATATAGTTGTTCTGACAACTCTCTTAATTAGCAGGAACTGTGTTGCATTTATACATACTTGGGGTAGGGAAGAGGGGGTAGACAGATGTGACGATGATCAATTATAAATAGATTCACACCACCATGAGCAGTTGCACAATTCAAGCTCATGTTCAGAACACACTATCATATATATGGTTCATCTCTAAAGGCACTTATTTTAGAAATTTTTACACACGTGTATAAATAAAATTGCTTGTATTCTACGACTGGCTTTTAAAAGGTACTGGCGATGGAAAGTGATTTGAGAGCGAGTCAATTCATTGCAATTTAAATTGCTCATAGGATTCACTTTAAACGGGCGGCAGTCGTTGGCCGCGTCCTGTTCGATATGGGACTCATAGCTACGTATACAACGCGTGTTTATTTACATGAAATTTGAACACGCGCTGTGTGACGACCACCGCCCTATAAGTAGGCGTGAGATACCACTTCATACATTGCAAGAGTGGTACAACATACATTCACTAAAAAAGAAAAAAAAAACATCTGATTTCGTTAAACTGTCTGTGCTGGAAATGTTTGATGGAGTTTGAAAGTGAATTTGAAGTGAAAACGAGATGAAAACCAAGCAGTGAAACTCGCAACAGACTATGTATACTAGAATATCAACAGAAATACAGAAAGTTACGTACTGAAGTGTTACTTCTTAAACATATCAGGTTACATCAGGTTTTCGACCTTGTTTAGGGAAACGACAAAGATAAAATGAGTTCAAAATTACTCTGCGATTCATCCAATCTCTAAAAGTTAACAAGCATGCTACTACAACAACCTATATATTATCTGAAAGCTTAGATATGGGCAAATACGGTCAAGTTGTAACCAATGTTGTTGGAGAGATTAAATGTTTTGAGTATTGAAAATCGTTTTTAACACTTTCAATTGAACCGCCTATGAATTGTACAAGATGGTAGTAACACTGAAGACTAGACTGTGTGTTAATTTATCTGCTGTGTTTTCTAGCTGGGACCAACTAGAGACATGCTACTGACAACTGCGTACCGGTAGTATATCTGTAGGTAGTAGCGAAATTGTCTTAGACATACGTTGGTATGGCTTGTACACAACTGTATCCAACTATATGTATTAAAGCTTTCAAATGATGGACATTTTAATTGTTACATGCTTAGTAACTTTCAGAGAATGTCGGAATCACAGAGTATTGTTTCAATCATTTTTCCCCTGTTGCTAACATGAGGCTATAAACAAATGAACATCAGATTTAGGTTTCACAATTAAAAGGTAGGTTCACACCACAGATATATATATATATAGGTTGAATGAGTGAATTTCTTTTTTTTCAAATACATTCACAGCTTCTTTGATCACCTGCGTACCCATGTAATAAATGTGGACACAAGCTCAAAATAAAGAGAGCACAATTTTAACTAGTATCACAAGAATTAGTTGCTTATCATTGCCAAAAGCTGGGGCTAAGGGGTTTCTCCATGAATGATGTGGTTGCAGGCATGCGTCTAATTTTGACTATGATCAAAGCACATGATCAGGGTTCACAATTCCACACTAAAACAGTATGCAATTTCAAACTCAGTCAAAGTTAAAGCATCACATCGCTAATGTGGTTTCAGATCAAAATATAAAAGGTCGCAGCAAGAAGTGGTACCAGCATTTCTCCCTACTTTTTATTTTAGCAGAGCACATAAAAGAGCCCGACAACAATAATTCACGCACTTTCGGACAACCGTCATTCTTTCCTGAGACAAGCTTATTTTTATGTAAATATCTACTTACAACCGATAGTTTACATATGATAAATATTACAAAGCAAATTTAGGGATACCAAATGAGGCCAAAAGCATTAAAGCCATTTTAGGCTCCCCAAAAGGTTTTGCTCCCGGTAGACATCACGCACACATCAATTGGGAACCAGTTTTGAGTTTTAGAGTCATCAGTTACTTTGCGAGCAGGACTGGGGGTGGTTGAGGGGGGGTGGTTGAGGGGGGGGGGTGATTTCTAGCTCACAAAATTTATTCATTGGTTCCCTTGTTTTCTGACGTACTGATGAGCTATCAAATGTTTACGTGGATAAATCAAACCCCCAACGCAGATGAATTTGGAGTGTATTCACACCAAAGCTTGCAATTTTTAAAGGTAACAGCAGAACTCAAAACTTGTATATTTTGAAATTGTGTACCAGTAGTGTGTCTCACATAAGATGGAATTGGGGAAAATATTTTGCTTTCAGTTTGAGAGAATGTTTTGTTGATCCAATCCAGCACACAATGCATATATTCAAAAGCAATTTTTTCAGAAATGTTAAATGGTGAACTTGTATCTTGCTGTTGTGATATTAAATTACTCTTGGAAAAAAAAAAATGCATCAATTTTTAATTTTCTCTAGAATGAGAAGCAAAATCTAATTTTGTTATGGCCTTAGGGTGATTTTTTTCTTAAGACAGTGATATGAGGTACACATAGCTTTAACATCAATGATGTAGGTGTTTGTAGCAAAATTCTGAAAGTACACTTCTCTCTTAGTGTGAAAAACCATTTGTTTATGAAGATTACAATCAGGTGACAATAGAACTTTTTATTTGAGCTTCCCTTCTGATAGAAAATATGCTATTACCATTGCATTGCATTGCACTGCAGCGTGAGGGATCAGAGAGTGTAAATTGCCAAAGTTCTACCCCAGTACATCTGTAAGCAATAAGGTGTTGTAGATATTATTGTAATGAAGTTTTTTCATTTCTCATCAGTGCAAGTAATATATATATAATAAAATAGAGTATAAACCAAATGCTGATGATGACATAGACTACACAATACTATTTTCAACAGACTTTACAGCAGTTCCATTTGTTAACGCTGGGGTTTCTGTCATCGCTACAAAAGAACTCTCTGAGCATATGGCCGGAGACAGGTCAACCGTTCGTACTTGACTCTCTTCAGATACACCAGACTGAAGAACAGTTCCTGGAACCAGATCAGCATTAAGTGTACTTGTATTGATGTCTGGCAGTACAGACGTAGTCGAGTGCGATTCAGCCAATGCATCAACATTCTGGGTATTTAATTCCATCTCTTCCTGAGAAACCGAGGCCTGTGCAACTTCCACAATCTTAGATACCTGTTCACTGTGTTCGTGATTGACCCCCGTATTGGTTTGGGCCTGAAAGATTTCCTGTGGAGTGTCCATATTTAATAATGCCTGTATTGTGTCCAGAGGTATGCTCCCCTCCCCAGTGATCTGCCACGTTGTGCCATCAGGTTTATCAATGGCATAACCATTTTGAGTCTTGGACAAATTGAAACCCGGTGGCAGCATCAACACTCGATGCTGCGATTGCTGTCGAGATTCTTCCACTTGTATCTCGGTGACAATAGAGTTCTCACAGGGTTTATTTACTTCAGTCTCTGCTTGACTATCGGTTAACATTTTGAAATCGTTTGATGAAACTTCACCACTGTTGACAGTGTTGCAATTCACTGTACTGGTGGCAGCAGTGTGTAACTGTGAATCCTGGGTGATATTAGAAACAACAATAACAAAGTTATTATCTTATTATAATTAGGTCATCTCAAACATAGACATTCTAGAATGTGTTTATGTGTGAGCTGAACTTTGAAAAATATAAATCTTTATGTATTTTTAAGGTAGCAGAATAGTTTTTTGGGCACTTTTCACATTTTTTTTTGAAAATCACACGAATAGCTCCCTAAGGCATGCTACATACATTGGTGTATTTATTTTATAGAAAAAAAATATCTTGTACAAGTAAACTGATTTTTTTCTTGTGTGCAAAACAAATGGCCAAGTTTTTGTTTATCCAGTGTACACCAAACTAGTGCATCTCATTAATATGCATGGTTTACAAACATAACTGAATTGAGGGTAAATAGTTT